TATATATATAAATTTATATATATAAATTTATTTATATATATAAATTTATTTATATATATAAATTTATTTATATATATAAATTTATTTATATATATAAATTTATTTATATATATAATTTATTTATATATATAAATTTATTTATATATATAAATTACAAGCTGATGTCTGCTGGACATGTGGAAAGTGTCCAGTTCTTACTGAACTTTTTGTAAATACTACATAGCACCTTTTCTAGGAAACTCCTGATGTATACCAAACTTAATATATTAATAAAAATGTTAGTTAATACCACTGAATTGGCAAACTTGAGGTTAAAGGTGAAAATATCTATACATTGATAACCATCAGCATTACAGTGAAGAATATCATTAAAGTAATAATTTTTAAGATAACAGGATATTAAGTTTTACTTAAACTGATACACTGATCTAAAATGAGTCACCTTTTGCCTTTTCTTGAGAAATAAAATCTATGAGAATATATTTCAACTATTTCATTTAAAAACTAGTTTTATATTATCTGTAATTCATTTGAAATCCTTTATCCATGTATATGACGTTATGTAGTACAATAAATATTAAAAAACACACAAATTTATCAAATCAAAACCTTTTTTATTTCTGCAAGTTTTTCCCATGTAAGAATGCACTTCATTCTTTAGACGTTTAAAGTTTCAGGGTTCTTTGTTTTTTGTAAAAAATACAGTACAAGGGAGTGGCAATGCAGCTATCCAGAAACTACCTTTTAAAATATAATAAAGCACACTTTATCGTAAAAGCATTACATTCTATATTAATAAAACTGTATGGTCAATATGGTGCTCTTCCCAACGAAGCTAAGATTCTCTTTCTTTCTTCTTCTACAGGCATATTTGGTTTTATTCCATCTTGTTTTCTCTGCATCATAATCCCATGCTAGAAATAAAAACAAATAACACACTATGATTAAATCCATTTTGCATCAACAAATATTTAATAAATTTACATATTTAGTAGCAAATCAAACTACTTGCTATAGTTGGAAAAGTCTTGCTCCATTAAAATAAATGTTAACACTGTCATTTAGAGTATTTATTTTTGAAATACTGTTTCAACATTAGTATGAGATAAATCACTCTGTTTAAGATACAGTCATCACTCAATAGTTTGGAGATGGAACTTGGCCATTCATAGAAATGTGAGTCAGGAGAGTTTGCACATGATAGAACTATACAGAGAACATCATGCTTTGACTCTCTTTTTATATGCATAGACACTGATCTATATACACGGACACTACTAGAATGAAGCCACAATGTGGTTAGGCCTAGAGGCTCAATGTCAATAATCTACCAGAAGAGTCATTTTTTTTAATAAAAAGGAATATAGTTCGGTAGATTTTAATTGAACAGATTGGTATATCATCACAGTATGCACAACTAGGTTTTTTCACATGGGAATAAATGAATGCTTTCATCCATAATATTAAGTGAAGGAAAGACAACCTCCCTGGGCAAGTGGCCATATTTGGACTTCTGAGAGCATGTGATGGACATATTCAAGAATGGTCTCAAAGCATTAATTCACCAGAACTAAAATTAATGAGATTCTCTCACTTCCTTTGGTTGTTGTTTTTTAGTAGGTATGCATATTTTAAAGCACTGGATACTCCTACCCATCATTTATCTTTTAAGACCTGGATATAAAGAATGTGTTTGTTCTGATCCATCCTCTATGAGAAATGGGTGGTAGTGGTAAGCAGTCAAATCTCTAGTCATTTTTATAGGATACCACAGGCTGTGCATTTTCCCCATGTGATTTAACTTCTATAAGAAATCACTAAGCAGGTGATTCATTGATTAGGTTGAGGTATTAAGATAAATATCTAATTAGAGTATAGTATAGCTGTCATTGTCCAACATTTATACAATGAAATTGATTGCATTTACATATATTACATATTTACAATTACATGGGCAAAGCTGAAAAGTGGTCGGTATCATTAACTGTATCTGGAGACTGGGTGGCATAAAATAATATAAAGTTAAATATGAGTAAAATATTAAATACTGTTCATTCAAAAACTATCCCCCTACATCAACTCTTCTCCTTTTACATGATAAAGCAGCTGCAACTTCCAAGATTTTCTCATGTTTACAGAATCTGATTCACTGTTGTGAAATGGATGGCTGTTTAAATCAAATCAAATCAAAAAATTAATAAATCAATCTGGTTGCTTGGTAAATAAAGGATGGGTAAGGAGAGCCCCTGTCCAGTTTCATCTAATGGAGAAACTGCAGCCCTTTTGGGATCAGCCAGCACAAGCATCAGTTACACACACTCTTAGCAATTTAAGATTGAATTGTTGCAGCACATTCTATAAGCTTTCTTTTAAAAGCTTCCTGGAAATGTTCATTGGTACGGAATGTAGTAATTCACTTACTGATTTTTGAAAGCCAGGTCAGCAGCAGCAGATATATTGCAGGCAGTGCATTGGTTGGCAATTTGTTCTAATTGATGGTTTTACTCTATAGTTCTTTATCTTCCGGGCCACCTTCTCCAAACAGAATATGCCCGTTCTGATGCATTCAACCCAGAATGAGATACTTTAGATTCCAGTGACAATGAGAAGTGAGCATGGAGATAAGTCTTATTAAAAGTACCCTGTGTCTATAGACTAGTTTGCCCCGGAGGTTCAAAGAACCAAACGATGTCAACATTTAGTATGACAGTGAAAACTATTCATTTTCTCCTGAATACTTGGAAATTGTTTACTTGGTTATTTTAATTTGTTGTGTATAATGAATGTGTATTTAATTTATCTTAATTTTTACTATTTAAATTTTAATCTGAACTGACTATTTTGTTAGATTCTGTGGCTATGAAGGGCTCAGAGATGTAATATAAATTCATATAAATGATGCAATAAATAATCTGACCCTTTAATATTGCCAGCTTTTTTTAAAAAAATATAGAAACAGAAATAGATAAGAGACAGGTTAAAGCTTTATTTCTGTTTGCTTCCCTGAAAAAGTTTATTTAAAAGCCTTTCAAATCTACTTACCCAAAATTTTCGGCAACTTTTGTACTTTAAAAAATAAATTGCACACATATCCTTATCGGATTGATTCACTTCCAAACACTTTCTGGAAGCATCGCTTTCCTTGAATATGAAAGGAAATAAAATATTAAAAATCTAATAGTTGATTTCCTCAGTTTCGAAGATGGCACAATTTGCCATCTTCATTCATTGAAAGGCAACTAAACAATAAGGCTGTGATCTTACAAATAATTATGTTAGAATAAAATCCTACTTAAAAATAGTGTTACTATCTGTTTCTCAAAGTATTAATCTAAGACTTTAAAACTAAGTTTAGGGTAAAAGTTAAATCTAGTTTTGTAACTATTAAGATAACAGGTATCTTAAAATTCTTCCAACAAAAAAATATTATTACCAAGAAATGTAACCAAAGTTGATAAGGATGCAAACTCTTTGTCTTTTTAAAACTAAAATATAACTGATAAACTAAAAGATATACTAGAATCCCAAGAAATATGCAAGAAATAGTTTTCTTATCTGACTACAGAGTTTTAACCGCTTGCTCAAAGGTTTTGTAATATCATACAATATCACCTATAACAAATCACAATTAAAATATAGAAAGAAACTACATCTTCAACTGAATTACTTCTCAGTTCATAGAAAGGAGTTGAGAGAGAGAAAATAAGGCAAGGTGAATTCAGGAAATGGTACTTCTTTGCAAAACCAAGCAAAAGCATCAGCAAAGCTTCTGTCATAGAGATTATTAGAAGAGAAAGGAAAGAAAAGAAACACAGAATACTTGTTGCTGAAAAACAGAACCATAATAGCACTGAAGAGCCCATGTTTTATTTGGATATATACAAGACAGTTCAAGTTTTGTATAAATATTTTTAAAAGACTTTAAGTTGTTAAATTATAGATTACAATAGCCAATAAAATTATATTCATAACTTCAAAAAATTAATAAAACTATTCTTTAAAAAGATATAGAATGATATTTAAGGTTGTTAGATGTAATCAATATTCTATTATCAAGAAATAAGTTCTTTATAGGTAGGTATGTGTTCAGTCCCTCCTTCACTCGTTAACAGACGACAGGCAGACAAACATAAAAGGGAAGAACTTTATCAGTTCTCAGCTCAGTCTCTGACCAGAGGATAACAGAATACAAAACAAAACTCTTACAAAACAATTCACTTCTCCAAGTGTCTCTCACAAACAAACCATGACCGATGAATGATGAACAAATGAATGAAAGTTGACTCCTGCAACCAGGGCGTGGCACCATCCATCCTAATGAGCCCCAGCTGCATTGTTAATCTTACATCCCGAAAAGACTCACAGGAGACTTCTGCTGAGTCACAACAGGTGTGTATGGATAATTATATTTTTACTTGTTCTGCAAAGGGTTAATCTTTGTGCTAACGTATCTTGAAAAACTAAATCAAAGGAAAATAATGGATCTTGAATTGTATTATATAAAATCAGTTTATTAGTCATAATCCAGGTAAAATAGCCAATAGTAGTAGAACTGCTATATACAATCTATATGTGACAGAAAAAACAATGAATATAAGACTTAAACCAAAGAACATCTATAATAAAATACAATACAATATTATAACAAGTGAGTAGATAAGCATTCAAACATAGATTTTGAATTATATCTGTATTCAGCAGGATGTTCTTATATTAAATGTTTATTTTTTTCAAAAGTTAGAAATTTTTGAATTCAAAAATATTTCTTAAACATTTCAAAACAAATCCTTAGACTTCAAAACTAGTTTAGTAGCAAATGAAAACTTCAAAAAAGCCTTACATCAGCACATTTTTTAAAAAAATATTAAATTTTAATTTAATTAATTATTGCTGTCCACTCCTTTTATAGTTGTTTTATGGTTGCATTACAAGTAACAAAACATAGAATTCAGATATTAGTTATTATTAGATTATAATAATAGTCGTTAATGTTATTAAGGAATTAATAATAGTTATTAAGGTATAATAATAGTTATTAAGGTATTTGCACTTGTACTATAGGCATCAGAACAGAGCCAAATCTAGAATACAAAGAGTGTGTGCACTTTAAGTATCTCTGAGAAAATGCTGTTCAGGAGGGCAAGTCAACAATAAGAAATGTTTTGTTTCAAACTACTAAAGTTCAGAGGTTTTCCAAACCATTATGATTTTGCAATTCAACAGAAGTAAACCCAGAACTTATTAGTAGTTACAAGATCCCCTCAATATCAGCCATCAATGTTCTGGTCTGTCTGCTATCCCAATGCATAATATAGTGTGGTTTATATCCCACCTGCCTACCATTCCAATCTTCCCAACTTTTTACCTTCCTTTTCCTGCTATCCTTGATTTCTCAGTACAACTTATCCTTTCCATTCTGGCATCTCTTCAACTGCCACTGATTAGGTCTTCACAAGCTGTTGCCAAGAAAATCCCTTCAGACCAGTGGTAGGCTGCACTCACCTTCACTAGTGGTTCGCTGATTGTGTGTACACGTATTCCGTTTGTGTGCGTGTCTGACTCATGCTGTGCATGAATGCGCAATCCACCACCCCTGTGACAACCAAATGATTGCCAGGGTTTGTGCAGGCGCTGCATGCTGTGCGCGCAGGTGCAATTCGCCTTTTGCCATAAGGGCCCAAATAGCCACTATACAGGTTCGCTCTCAGCTGCTCTGGGACACTACCGGTTTGGCTGAACCAGCAGCAATCCATCTCTGCTTCAGACTATTTTAAAAAAAACTCTCAGCCCTTCTCTGAATCATGCTTAGCTAGACCAATCTTAATAAAGAACACAGCCCAATTTCATTCTACATATAAACTAAGATATCTAGAATATATGTCTCTGTTTGGACACAAACTATCCAGAGTCAACTGTTATGTTTGCAGTATTTTGTACATTCTTATGTAAAGCTACTTCAGAAAAATAAATTAAAAACTCATAATGTCCATTTATAAGAACTCAACTTACCACTAAACATGGATTAATGTCATGATCCTGCAATCGGCGTTTTTGGGACATAAAGTCAGTATTGTATTGTTTTTTCTGTGTGGTTTTTTTCTTTTAAGGCAGCAGCTAAAAAAAAGACAATTTCAACGTGTCAGGACAGCTTTTGTCTGACAAAAATTTAATACTTTTCCCTAGGGATTTGTAAATAATATTTTAAGGAAAGAAAGTAAAGGTTTTGTAGAAAATTTTGAATAAGAATTTTTTTTTGCTTGCAAATAAGTATGAAAATTAACATCAACATCATGTTTATTAAGCATATTATGTATTAGTATGTTCAATATTATTATTTTTTAGATTCTGGTTTTATGAGGTTTAACATTACTTTGGAAAAAAAGCACAAAGTTCTGAAAAATACTTTTTACCTAAAAATTTGAAAAGAATGGCAATAGGTGACATTTTTTAAAAAAAAAATATTGTAAAGCAAATATGATGTAACTTTGAAACTGCCAAAGTTGACTGAAGTCAAGCATATTTCACAGACAGATCTGATTCAGAAAATTTGCACTGGTATATTTCTGAAAGAAATATAAAGAAGAAATATATATTTTTCCCATCCTAAAGTAAGGAATTTACAATTTTCCACAGAATATGGGTATCAGAGTGTGGCAAGATGTTGGAGCTAGGTCTTTTGGGGGTTCAGATCATTTGAATATATTTGTATAACCATGGCATGGAAGGCGCAATACAAGGCCTATTGTTTCTACACAGCATTAATTGGGATCTTTGGCTAATAGTCTTAAAAGCTATGAAATAAAAATATCTATTGTAATAGATATTATCGAAAAAAATTCTGGATTTCTTATTATAATCCCCGAGAATTAATTTTAAAAAGAGCAAACTTTCTTAGCTGATGTTTCCTGTCACTCTATCTACTATTTCTTACAGAATGGTTTTTCAGTGACAATTAAAGGAAAGGCAAACACAATGAGGATAATTTCCAGATCAAATCAATTGTGGCTGGCTTTTCTTCTGCTGTATATAATTACTGGCTTAACTAAAATGCAGCAAATTATAATTTGATCATTGAAATGCAAAGTAGTAAGAAATTTTCCAAGCTTTAGTATCTAAATTACACTTTTTGAAAATTTCGTACATTCATGTTGCAGGAGAGCCATGTTAGCAGCCAAAATTCAGAAATACACAAAAGATTATAATTTTCAATAAAATTTGTTAATCTGAACATCTACTACCAGATTCCTATACATGGTATAAGCAGAGTCAAGGGAGGAATTGCACAGGGTATCAGTTTATAGAGTTTTTACATAGTCACAAGAGGACAAAGTCCTACCCCCTTGAATGCAGTTGACTCTTATCTAATTTTATCCAGGTGCAAACCTTTTGTTTGAGAGTGCATAGGCTTGAGAAATAAATCAGTAGTTTTGAACTTTCACATATGGACCTGCTTGCTTGAGCCTGACAATACAGCACTCTTGAAATGGGACAACATATATAACAACTTGACAACTCAGATAACATAATATAATTCAACTCAACATAACAAATCAAGTAACAGAGTACTGGCAACCACTTAATATTGTCCACCCTCCAAAAAAAACCATCTGGAAGTTGACTTTAGGGATCTACTACCTCAATCCTTATGATTCTTATAACATTTAACTGCTGATTGGTCATATCTTCATTTCAAAATAAGGAGACATTCATGTATTTTGGACACTGGTTATGGTTTTTTAAAAAAATAAATTGTGCTTTTAAATAATTTTTTATGATAAAGCAGTATACAGTATAGCTATACAAACTAGACTTTTACTTATTCAGTTAACAATTTATGTTAAATTTGCAGGCTAATCCTAAATTCAAGATGGCTTACTGACAGATTGCTGAAATACTTACAGCTTGTTTTTAAATATCTGTATTTTCTTTAAATGTTACAAAATAGAACTACTAAATATACTAACAACTAAATGATAGCCTTGTGAACTCTAAAATATCTGTAACTTCTTTTTTTGAAATATAAGATATATTACGTTTACAGTGTTTCTACCACCACAAAATAGTTTTTCTTTTTGTGTCAGACTCAGGCTAAAGCACTTTGTATTCTATTCCTACATCTTATATTAGAAAATGAATCCTTTATTAAATGTTTCCTCCTTGGTGGAAATATATACAGACTGAGTTCTGTGAAATGGATGCCCATTCTATTAAATTTCTGTGCAGACAGGAGAAATGCCTATATTCCCAATGATTTAAAAATGGTAATAGCAAATAGCAACATATTCCTCCAAAAACTGTTGCAAAAGTGAATAGTTGGTAAGCTAACAAAGTGGTCCAAACATTGAAAATAAAGTCCTCAAAACACTTTTCTTTCAGGTCTATATATGTTTCGGCACTGACCTTTCTGGTTAGACTTGACAAAGGCAAATACTATTTAAGAATACAATACAGATTCATTGAGTCTACTTTAACCCTAATGAGTGAACAACACTTCTGTTATTTTCTAGACAACAGTATATTGAAGTGGTCTTATTCTAGGATTTACAGCCCTGGAATTTTCTATTAGTCACTAATCTAGGTATATATACTTATAGATTCAACCTTGTTTAATGTTTTCAAGATTAGTTGAGGTACAAGTCAATGGTACCAAACACTATCTGACAAGGTCAACTGTGTTGTAAAGATGTATTAAAAAAAACCTTCCCATCATTGTATACATTCCTGTGTATTCTTCTATGATAGCAGTTTATGGAAGAAACTGGTTCCTAGTTTCATTCACCCGTGTTAATTATTAATAGTTTCTAATATCTTTTACATCTTTGCTTTTATTATAAGCCTCCCAGAGTTTCTTGGATAGTAAAATGGGCGGAACATAAATGTAGTAAATGAATACGTTCCTTCCGTAGCATACTTTTCAATGAAAAGCTTTCGAGAAGTCTATAAACACAAAGGAAACTGCTGTCTCTGAGCTTCGAAATCCAACTTTCCGTACACACCGCCATTCTCAACAGAAACCGACTGAAGAAGGAAAAAGAGCGGGTGTAGAAAGGCTAATTCCGAACCCCAAATCAGGAGAAAATGTAGACGGAAGATTGAGCCTCCGTAGACTGAACTGCTCCCGGGGCCTCCCATATAATTTAGCCGACTGGAACCTGCAGCATCTTGGTGAATGGCGATAATTACCCCACTAAAGTCACTCCGGCCTGTTTGTGGACCACCCACGAAAGAAAAGCTAATTTAAGACAGTCGGGATCACCGCGACAAGAGACAAAAGCTTTCAAGTACCTGAAACGGACCGGGAGTAAAGAGGGCGAGGCCCGCTTCGTCCACCTTTTTCTTCAAAGCTCCTTTCCCCACATTCTTCACTCTTCAGAGCCGGTCGGCAGCGTCTGTCTCGGACGCCGCGGTGCCCCGAGAAAGGTAGGTCTAGCGAGGACTACCTACGTGGGCAAAAGCGCCCACACAGCACAGGCAAGCTACCGCGCTCTCACGACGCCGCTCCGGAGCAGACACTCACCTCGGCTACCACGAGGAAACTCAGCCCGCGGCCCGAAGGCTCGCCTCGAATTCGAAAGACGTCAGCGGCTTGGGCAACGACCTTATAACTGGCGCAGCCTACCCATTTCTGGTCCCGCAGCCCGGCGGAAAATGATAGCTCCTTGAGCCAATGGAGGCGGCCGAAGCTCTTTGAAAGGCAGCGGCAAGCCGCTGCAGACTGGCCAATCTTTGCTCGGTTCCTCCCCGGCCTATCCCGAGCGGCGTTTACTCCCACCAACGGGGCAAGCTGTGAGCGCGAAAGGCGCCACCGACTGGGCGCGGCTAGGAAGCTGAGTGACAGGGGGAGGTGTCCAACCCGCGGCGCGTGTGGGCGGCTGGCGGTGTGGGCGCGGCGTGTGCGGCAGGCTGAGCTGCACCGCAGCGCATACACTACAATGGCTGCTGGAAAGAGGGGAAAGCAAACAATTTCCAGGCCCGCCGCGTCCAGCCCGAAATATGGGGAAAAAATTACAGAAAAATCGGAGAACCCTGTAAAAGGCGGGAAGCGGGCGCTGAAGGGATGCTGAGGCTCCCGGGGTGAGTCTGCTGTGGGTTGGGGGTTCTGCAGCCGGGGTTCAGCAGGGAAATATTAGGGTTATTTAAATTCTGAAGGGGGAGGAGGAGGAGGGACGCGAAGAGTGAAGCAACAGCAGCCGGAGCAGGGATGGGGAAGGTTTGCGCGGCTCCATCTCTCTTTTTAGCCCTTCTGGGCTTCTTGGGGGATCCCTGAATCCAGCCCGGGAAGACACCCTAAAAGTAAGCCTCGCTTTCTCCAGACTTGGTTGGGACTACTTCCCAGCTTGCTCCCACTTCTTCCCCCCCCCTCCCCTTTGCCTCGGTCCGGATTTCTTGCAACGGTGAAGAAGTGCCCCCCCCGCCCGCGCGCGCTTGTTTCAGTAAGTGGGGAGTTTGCAGAAACTTGGGAGAAAAGTCCCCCCCCCTCGCACACACACTTCGTCTCTCTGTATGTATGTCTTCTCCACCCCCTCCTTCCCCTGAGCTCCAGCGTCTGTGCGGTGAATCTAGTGACAGCCGCGGTAGCAGCAGCAGCAGCAGCGAGGAAGGAGCGGAAGACATTAGAGTCCGCAGTGCCCCAAAATGAGAGAAAATTAATGAAAATTCAGCGGTGTCGCCGAATCGGACACACTTTGCGCAGAAACGTTGCTAGGGGATTGCTCTTCCCGGACGGAGTCCCAGGGAGCCCGCAGATGAAGCTTTGGGGGTATCTCTGGAGTCACTTTGGGACATCCAGCGCCCTTCTCCCTCCTTTCATTGGACAAAAGTTTTTTTTTTCGCTTCCCCCCTCCCGCAGCATAAAGAAACGAATTTGCCTCCTTTTTGACTTCAGCGGATCCGGGTGCTTTCTTTCCCTTTTCTACTGTGGGTTTGGAAGAGAAGCTTAGGAAGGCGAGCAAGGTTGAGGGTGGGCAGTATAGGGGAGCGGCGGGGTTCGTTAACTGAAAGCAGGAGAGATCCGGAGAGAGAGCGCAGGGACAGCTTGTTGTCAGTATCATAAACAACCAAAATGGAGGGAGAACTGAAGCATATAACAAAATTAAAAATAGCTTGAAAATTCCTTAAAAAAATCCCCAAGTCGCCCGAGCTTCCGAATTGGCCCTGAAAAGATCACACTGAACCAGCACACTTTCGTGTTGAGTTTTTAATAATCTCGGAGAGCAAGGAGTTAAAATCGATGCCTATTTTTGTTGTTGATGATCGCTTTAGAAAGGCAAAAGCCCTTTTACAGCTCATTCCCGACACTGCGAGAACGTGAAAAACCCCTTTCTTCCTTGAATGGTGGCGGGAGGTGGGAATGCACGAGTTGCACAGCTTTTGGGCAATGTGGAGCTGATTGCAAAGAAGGTAACTGCTACATTTGCCAAACTTTGTGCCTTCCTTTTCTTTGTCTGGGGGGTGGTGGTAGAAGCATAGATGGAAGAAAAGGGAGGTGGCGCGAAATGAATTGCCTCGAGATTGTCTTTCTGTCTCTCTCCCAGTTATGATATAATGCAATGTAAAAAATGTAAACCTGTCCTGTCTATAGAATATGTTTAGGCTGATTATGGATCTCAAGTGTTTGAGATTCCTCTTTGTAAAGTGCATTCTGTTTGTACAATGCGGAGTTAAAGCAGCAGCGTTCCTTAGAATGAACTGGCAGAAAATACATATGAGGTTCTGGCAGAGAACCGGTGGCTTAGTCTAGCATAATTACTTCACTTGGTTTGTATTTTACAAAGCATGCAATCTATAGTTTTCTCCAGATAAAAACGATGTGTTCTTTGCATCATATTAAAGTTGATGTGAAAGTGCTGCTGATGTTGATTTCCACGTGGGATCAGAGACAGAGCAGGGTATCTTAAAGAGACAGCTCCTCTTTTAGCTATCCTTACCTACATCACTTAGCTAAGGCAACGCAGTTGTCCTGTATTTGCTAAAATGTAAAGCCATATATTAAACTCAGAAGGAGACTGTGACCCCTTAAGCTGACAGAGTTGCACTAGTTCCAGTGTAATTTCTAAGGATATTGATTGGATCTATGTATTTACATGCTGTGATGCCATAAGGCTATATTGTACAGTGGCTGAATTTAAATTAAATTGTGCTTTGGAAATTGTTTTTGTAATGTTACGTGTAGAAACTGAAATAGTTTCTGCAAGTTATAGCATTATAATGTCTTAGAATAACAAAGTTTCCTTTGTATTAACATAAATTCAATTGAAGGCATGAGGGAGCTGATAATTACACAATATGGGGGTTGAAATGAAGTAAAGTATGTCTTTTTATGATATTCAAACCTGGTCAAAATATATGGCTAGATCACTTAGGAGACCTAATTTGTATGAAATCCTTACATATGCTTATGATGTCTATGTTGTTTTCATTGAAATACAATATAAAATGAAAGCAGGTGACATTTTTAGAATCTGTGGGTAATAGTCACCTAATAATTTGAAGTTCCAGTGCCTTTTAATATAATAGTCTTTGTGATATAGAATTCATCATACATGTTTTAAAAGCTTATAGCAATATACCTGAAAAAAATATTGTAACACCTCTCATGCACACACATCTAACACACTTGCTTTTACACAGTGTAAATTATAAAGTGAATTCAGATAAGTATTCTACCCAAAAGGTGAACTGAATGTTGAGATGAAAGTTATCACTGTTTATTTTATGTCTCTGTTTTAGTGTCTTTTATGTGAGCAACTGAAAGATTATAGCCTTGTGATCATACATGTTTTGTCACTTCCTTGGATAAATGTATTGACTGAAAAATCCTGTGGCTTAATACCTTTGCACAAAAACACCAAATTTTCAAGTTATCTCTTTTTTAAAAAATCATTGCAATTATTTTTAAAGAATATATTAGTTCATTTGGGAAAGGATTAGATTATTTTTAAACTAATGAAGATTCACCTATGTTTGCTATATAATGTAATATTTCAAATTCAATAAAAAACTTTTAAGAAAAACAATCTTTCGAATAACTGATGCATGCCATGTGTTTTAAGAATGTCACTTGAGTGACTGAGATTTGCAGTACATAAGCAATTTTGAAACACCAAGTAAAGTCACTACATTCATAAGTATATATAGAGGAATAAATAGGAAATAGACATGTAGTCTTCCATTCTTACCCTAAATACATGATACACTGGCATTTGTGGACCATGAATATAAATTTTCAACATTGCCATTAACCATAATGCTGAGTTTTGAGCATGAATCTTGATTACTCTAGAGTTCGCATTAAATTGTATTTCACAGAGGAACAAATAAATTTTATCTGCCTTTCATAATAGAAATGGTCTAAAATAGATTTACAGAACTAGTATTTGATATAGTTTTATGCGATATACTGAAATAATGATAAATTCATTGTTAAAAAATGAATTGTTCTGAAAAATACAATCTGAATTTTATTTTCTTGCTGTTTTATGAATGTTCTCCATTTATAGAAAAGTTTAATGAAATTAAATTAGACTGTTGTTTACCCCTAAATATATTTAAAGGTAAAATATTGAGAAAAGTGCTCCTAGAATATATATATATATATATTTTTTTTAACAACAGGTGAATTTCTAGATTCTTTTAATCATTTAAAATTTTTAATCTTTTAAAAATTGGATAGATCTCCAAGAATATAGTTCTTTTATTACTGAAAATATACAATTCTTTTTAAAAAGTTAAAACAATGTTTTAAGAAGTTATATTGATTATAAAATTCTTGAATTAATATAAAATCCCACCTTCTATTATGCTATAATGTTAGAAATTTCATAGTTCTTCAGAGCATTTTATTCTCCATGCTACTTTATAATTCAACCTTGTTCCACAAAATCTTTTAAATTTTAGTTAGGTATTCATGCTTGTTGCATGAATAATTCAATTATGATATTCAACCTCTTACTAATATTTTATCAAATGGTTTCTTTCCACTGTAATTTTACTCTTTTGATATAGAGGTGTAAGTTGCTCAGTTTAATGCATTATCTCAGTCATTTATGTAAATTTGTTTTACACTTAGAAAAGTTTTCGAAAACGCTTTAAATTATGTACTTTACACTTAGAGATTATCATTTGTATTTGAAAAGTTTAATTGTAATGGTTTTCACACATGTTAAACTTTAAAGGGATACTGAATAATTATGTGTTAAAGGTTTATAGTATCCAAATCTTCAGTGAGTCACACTAAAATGCTAAAATGTCTTAAGTGATGACAATATCCTTCTGAAAGAAGATAGGGATTCCAGTAGATTTTAGCAGAAGGATCTAGTAAATATCTGAATGACATGCTGATCACTTTTAACCAATTTAAAAAGTTTTAGAGAACTATGAAAATAAATGAACTATGCAAATATAATTTGTACTTGTCTGAAATAGAATGTTTAAAAATTTACAGACAGCTACTGCTTTACGTAAATGATGCAAGAAACAAAAAAGTCTATATTTAAAGGAAAAAAAGCAGTTATAAAGTAGTTCTTTCTTTGCAATAATGCAGATTTTTGAGGATGAAACAGAAGAGTGTTTTTCTGAAAAACAGTAAAACTAATTTGTCTTAATTTTATGTATATTTAGTTGGTATTGGATAGTACAATTATATGTATAATGCATTCATATAATCTGTGTGTGTCTGTTGTGTCTGCACATCAATTAGATAACCAAAACTACAGTACTAAGGTAACCATGATATAAGTTAGTACTTTCAGTTAACGGTATAAATTTTTGAAAGACCTTTATCTTCAAACAACTAGTATGCATATATTTGTTAAAAATTACAATTCTTATCTATTTTAACAATTGCTTAATCCTGTGTATTACTGCAAAAAATACCCAATCAGAGTTCGTGAATGTGTAGAAATTGGGCAGTTTTTTCGTATTTTGTAGAAATTATAAAACTTAGTACTATAAGTGGAATAAAAGGTTTATTAAAATTAAAAAGCTTTCTTAATCTATTCCCAAATGAACTTCTTACCATGTATTTGTATATTTTTGCTCCAGACCACTAAATACCCAAACAGTTAAGAGATATAATTTAAAGTGTGACATCTGTTGTAATTTTTCAAAACAAAAATGTGGAGCAAGATATATATAAAATGATAATCAACTTCATTTCATATCTCTCTGAAAGGTTAGGGATATGCTATTCTATTGGAGCTAAATGAGCCAAGAGACTTGAGGGAAAAAGAAATAGGAACATGAAGAAAGATAATGGAAGCACAGTTTGAAGGGGGAAAATGAAAAAAAATGAAAAGAAAATATATTTGGAAAAACTATTGTAATCACATTTGTGGTGTGTATATGTAGAATATCCCTGGAAATCAGATTAAAAGTTTTAGCAGACATTAGTTTTTAGGCAGTTGTCAGCTAAAATTAATTATTAATTAATAATGATTATTATGATCCATGTAATGATGGGATAAACTGGATCACTTTCCATTTTAATAAATGGAATCTTTGTGTTTTTTTCATCTTTTTTGAGAAATTGAAAAGGGTATCTTTTATGTTACATTAAGTGGATATACATTTATCTATGGAATTCAGAATGCTGTTGTAAAAACAATTTTTAAAAAATATCAGCACAACAATTGATGACTAAGAGAGGAATTGTAATTGACTCGAAAAAAGATACATAGATGAAAATAATCGTAGAAATATTGTATACTTTTGTTTTAAAATAATGGGAATACTTTTAGCTAAATTTAATTCTTTGACAAATCAATTCTTAACATTTTCACAATTATTTGTATAACATGCTAAGATACAGTATTTTCTTATTGATGCTATATTTTAAACTATATATTTTTGTTTGAGACTTCAAAGGAAGGAATTTTGCAATTTATATTATAGAATAACATTTGTTCAGAAAGAATTATATATATATAAAATTAAAATTGATTTTGCTTCATAGAAATAGAATTGGATGTTTGGTAAATACTGTTTCAATCTAATGTTCCATTATGTAATTCAAATTACATTGAATTAATGGTCCAGTAAATGTACAATTGGATTAGGAATACTGCGAATTTTTCCCATAGATGTTAAAATTATATTGCTAGTCTTATTCATGTACTGTTTATTCTGATTAAAATACATACACCATAAATTGTAAGTCCATTTTCTTCCTGTCTTACACCCTCCTTCCTAAGTGTATGGAACAATTGTTAAACTATTTGTCATGAATGACATTTCAAATGTGGAAGTTACATACAAGTCTCTCCAAACACTGTTCTAGTGCAATATTTTTTTTTCTTACTAAAGGATATATCCTTGTTGTATATGCTTGCTTGCTTGCTTGCTAGCTTGCTTGCTTGCTGATGCCTGCTTCTTACTAGTTAATTTGGCTTCTAAATGATAGA